TGGGTTTTGCTTTAGCTATCAAGATGAAATCAATTCAAATTCAAATTTCGTCTCAACTGATATGCTCGAGCTATTCAACTGATCCAGACGTGACTGCAATTGATCGGTACTCACGCGCTCATCTCTAGCTAGACGCGTCCATCGCTGGCAGCTGCAGTGGAAACAGCTGAGCGCGCGGACCAACGGTCGCGCTTCACTTTTATCCATATGTCATTTTGGACGTAGGCGTCTACGTCGACGTCGACGTCGACGTCGGCGTTGACGTCGAACGAGCGTTGCGCTATTTGCCGTTTTGTCCCATTTCGCTGTCGTCTGCTTTGCTTTGCGGTTCTCGTTCTTAGTCTCGGCGCTCGTCCGTGTTTATTTTTGTATATTTGTCGCATATACATACATATATAGTTTTGGTTAATATTTTGTTGTTCTTATTTATAGTTTACAGTTATTGTTCTTGTTCTTGTCCTTGTTGTTGGCCAAAAGTCGGACCGACAGCTGGTCGAAAACGTAACTGCAACTTTAAGGGTAACGGTAATTTGAAATCATGGCTGCCAAAGATCGTCTGCCCATATTTCCATCGCGCGGGTGAGTACACCCCACACACACACACACACACACACGCTGCATTTTATGAATTTGTCGCGCAGGGCACAAACTTTGATGAAATCGCGTCTGGCGGGCGCCACAAAGGGCCATGGCCTACTTAAGAAGAAGGCCGACGCGCTGCAGATGCGTTTTCGCCTGATTCTGGGCAAGATCATTGAGGTAGGCAGCGATTGGGCCGACAGCGAACATACTGAAACTCTCTCGTTGATTGACCATAGACAAAGACGCTGATGGGCCAGGTAATGAAGGAGGCGGCCTTCTCGCTGGCGGAGGTCAAGTTCACGACGGGCGACATCAATCAGATAGTGCTGCAGAATGTGACCAAGGCGCAGATCAAGATACGCACCAAAAAGGATAATGTGGCCGGCGTAACGCTGCCGCTGTTCGAGCCATATCAGGATGGCGTCGATACCTACGAGCTGGCCGGGCTGGCGCGTGGCGGCCAGCAGCTGGCCAAGCTGAAGAAGAACTATCAAAGCGCTGTCCGGCTGCTCGTCGAGCTGGCCTCGCTGCAGACATCCTTTGTTACGCTGGACGATGTCATCAAGGTGACCAACAGGCGTGTCAATGCCATTGAGCACGGTTCGTTATCGTATCTATCTATCTATCACATATTGTATATCGTATCGTATCGCCTTGCATCTAATCGAATATCGTATTTGTTTATCGCATGTGGCACAGTGATAATACCGCGCATCAATCGCACCATCGAGTATATCATCAGCGAACTGGACGAACTGGAGCGCGAGGAGTTCTATCGCCTCAAGAAGATACAGGACAAGAAGCGCGAGGCCCGCAAATCGGCGGATCTGGCGCGCGAGGAGCTGCGCCGCCAGGGCTATAACGTGCCCTGCAGCGAGGAGGCGCAGAGTATACTCGAGAACGATGGCGACGAGGATCTGCTCTTCTAGGCAATACACCAGCCAATACACACACACACCTACACACACACACACACACACACACCTACACACACACTACCTCATTGGCAGAGTCTTTATTCAATTTCGTGCACATTGTGCTCCAATTTGTTCGGGTTCTGGTTCAGCAACTGGTTCGTTATTGTTGTTGTTTTTGTTGTTACTGCTCTCGTCTCGTTGTTGTTGTTGTTGTCTGCAGCTAATGAAATTATGTACACGTATTTAACAATGTATTTGTATTATTATTATTATTATTATGATTGTTATTGTGTGCGCCTTTTGTGTGTTTCTTTTTCATTTGCTGAATATCGTTTCGATTCTTGTGTATAATAGACGCCATTCCACATTCATATCTGTCTCATTAAGTGGGAAATTTGCATTCCAGCGTCATCGATATGGCTGCCCCTTGACCCCCCCCCCCCCCTCCCCCTCCTAGCCACTCCCCCGCCATTCCACACATGGCCTCAACCCATGGCCGGCACGCGTCGATCCATAAGCCGCAGCGCAGGGCTATTAACAAGCGCGAGTGCTTTAGTCGACCGAGAGATACCCTGTAGTCAAACTTTTTTGCAATTTATGCTGCGACTGTGCTCTGCCCTTAGCTCCATGTTAATTTCGCTGTTTATGCTCCGATCTTAATGAAATTTAAAGGGCTTTAAGACGATATACCTTACCTAACTTTATCTTTTATTTAACAAGTTTTTCCGGGAATGGTTTAGGCATCAAAAAAGTGAAATATATTTCTTGTATGATGATTGTACGAGACCCTACGGACCTCGAGCTCTTGTCATTTCCAAGTTATGCAGATATTCAAGTTTTATGCATCTAGCTCTTGCATGTCCCGAGTCTTACGGGTATCCAAATGGAGAAATTTCATGCATCTAGCTCCCGTTATCTTCGAGTAATGTCCAGAACGAGGCCGCCACGCCCACACGGAGAGACATGTCCACATCGACTCAGCTCCTTGTCCTGTCCGGGGTATATATAGGACTTGCCGAATATGCTTACTCCTTAGCTGAGCACAAAAACAATATGCCCGTTTTGTAGTCGTTGCAGGGTATATACAAATACGTTGCATTTCGAGAAAACCTGCGGCATAGATTAACTTTCAATTGGGTTCTTGATCTCGTTGTGGTTGCTCGGTTGCTTTGGGTCCATTTGAGTTAATAATAGGCGAGACATAAATTCATTTATTTTATACACATATAAAATCATCGTGTTTATTCACACATACATATATATATATATACCATAGATTTGCTTAAACACGTAATAGTTTGCCATTGACCACTGTGTTTTTTTTTTCAGAATGTTTTTTTTTCTCACAGTTTTGTTGCTGTTCTAATTTTTGTTTAAACCTTTTTTTTTTTTGAGTAGTTAGTTTTTTTTTTTTTTTATTCTGTGTGTTCCTTTAAATTCGGCTTGTTTTTTGTTGAGTTCTTAGCGACAAATACGCACGAACCGTTAGGTCAACGAAAAAAGTTAAAAACAAGTAAGAGGCTCTAGTCGGGAGCTCCCGACTAGGCGATACCCTGAACCTTCTTCTTCCAACATCAACTGCATATATATATACTATTTTAGAAGCTTTATGTCAAGTTTGGTGACTCTAGCTCTTATTATTTACCAAAATTGACCAAAAAACACGATATCGATATCGATTTTTATCGATTGCGTGGAAACGGAGTAAGTTATCGATTATCGAAAACAAACTCGATCTGCGCGGGAACTAGGAGCATCTACATCTAAAATTTCTAGCTCTTATAGGTTCTGAGATCCTTGCGTTCATACATACGGACGGACGGACAGACAGACGGACATGGCTAGATCGACTCGGCTATTGATGCTGATCAAGAATATATATACTTTATGGGGTCGGAGTTGCTTCCTTCTGCCTGTTACATACATTTGGCTTTCGCACAAATACAATATACCCTTTTTACCCATTTTTAATGGGTTCAGGGTATAAAAAATAAATGAATATGGGGAAACTTTCCCTAGACGAGCAGTGTAAATGGGGCGGCCAGTGTAAATGGCTCTCAAGTTGAAAAGTTGACATGAATTATAACTATGAGAATATACTAATATTTTTTTTTCATAATTTTCATGTATTGTATACCAAGTACTTTGACGGCATTTTTTACTTTCTAAATATGTTTTATTTTTTTTTATATTTTTTTTATATTTGTTCTGGTTCCAAAAAAAAAAAAAATAGTTCAGTGAACCAGACAAATTAACGGCAAAAGCTCTTGGGCAAAAGCTCTCACGCGCAAAGTCCAAGCTTTTTTGCGCAACTTTTAGAACTTTCATTTTTGCCCAAGCCCATAAGTATTCAGGGAACTTTCGTTAAAGATCGCATTTATATCTCCCAGACGAAGCTGATAATTCCGATACTTATCGCTCCAAAAAGCTCGTAAGGTTGGGCAAGCCTTAACCGTTAACTGAAACCCGTTGCCTCAGTTCCATTTCGAAGTAGCTTTCCGTTAGAAATAACGCTCCAATTGATCATCGATTGCCGATTAAATCACTTCATAACAAGTTTCATTGATTCAATTCGAGCCGCGCGCATTTTCAAATTTGAAATTTGTGTGCTGCTTTTCAACACTGGAACAAACTTGTTTGTCAGGTAGCTTGGTATACCGTTATTTTGCCTATAATGTGACGTCATGTGAGCATGTCAATGCACTCAAAGCATGTAAGTATGTATATAAATATGTCGCTATGTTTCTTGTATATGAAGAATATGTATATGTATATAGTACTTTGACGTCTTATATATATTAAAAAAAAAAATGTGTTCTCTTGAACATTAACACTGCACATACACATACACATTTAGAGAAAAAAACTTTCAATTCGCTTTTGACGCCTTTTTTCATTTAAATTTTGGGATTAATATAATGCTGCATTTGTCAGCTATATGTGTATGTATGTGTATATATAACTATATATGTATGTATATATGTATATATAAAAAAAAATGTTATTTATCTATTTGTAAAAGTGCACACGTTTCAGTTACATAAGTTAAGTTTTGTTTTTTAGTACAGCTGCGCGCTTAAAAGCTAAGCTAAGCCATACACAAAGAGAGAGAGAGAGAGAGAGAGAGAGAGAGAGAGAGAGAGAGCGCAACAGAGGAAGCGAGAGAGAGATGGAGGCAGATAGGGAATGTGTGTGTGTATGTGTGAGCGAGACAGAGAGAGAGGTGCTCGCGTTAAGCTTTAGGCGTTTGCTGTTTTTGTAATATTGCTGCTGCTGCTGCGGCGGCGGCTGCGGCTGCGGCTGCGGCAGAGGCTATTCTGCTTGTTGTTGTTGCGGCTGCGACTGCAGTTGCTGATGTTGTTGTTGTTGCTGCTGCTGCTGCTGCTACGGTTGTTGTTGTTGTTGTCGCAGCTGTGGCCGTTGGCAACTGTGACGTCATAAATATCTGCTGGCACACTTGAGCGTTAGGAATCACACATTTGTTCTGCAAATGACACAAAAAGAAAGACAGCACAGACAGAGAGAGAGAGAGAGACAGAGAGAGAGAGTGAGAGAGAGAGAGAGAAAGAGAGAGAGAGGGAGCGGGAGGGAGAGAGTAGATAAAATTTGCAACCGAAAAGCATTTCAAATACATTTCGCACATAAAGTGGGAGGGGGAAAGGCAAAGAGATAGAGGGGAAAGAGAGAGAGAGAGAGAGCGGGAACGCATAAAGACATTAACTTTGATAGCTTATGTTATTCTCGTTTTCGTTAAGTTAAGTAAATATTATTAATATAATTGAATCTTGTGCGTTTGTTGCAAACAAAGCGCTGCAAAAGAGCTCGGTGATCAGATTAATTAGAAGCAAATAGAGTTGCAATAGATTAAATTAGTTATCGAAAATAAAATGTTTCAATAAGTGTGGCATCTTATGCCGATTAAAGCCAGTTGAACAGTGTGACCGAATTCGGGAAAGAAACTAGCGCAAATAAAAGGCAAATACGACAAGATCATGGTCGCATTTTTTAAATACTTTTCACTTAATGCTTCATGCATCGTATTTAGCTATAATTTCACATTCTGCTTATTTATTGTACTTGTGCTTGTGCGACTAGCAGATACCCTGTACGCATTTGAAACTGGGTAGATCCTCATTTACGCACACATTCTCCATTCTCTACTGTCAACAGATTCTCAAGCAAATTTGGCTTGATTTTAAGGAATTTTTTTGAAGACCCTTTTTTATTTTCGACTAGCAGCTACCCTGTACGCTTTAGAAAATGGCCAGATACGTATACCCGTTAACATTACTTGTACTCTACTATGCAAATTATATTCTCAGGTAACTTTGCGTTGATTTTGAGAAATAAGATGATGATGATGACTAGCCGATACCCTGTACCCATATAAATATGGCTAGGTATGTTTTTTCTAATACATTCCCACTTAATATATTTTCAGGAAAATTTAAGTAGATTTTTGGGAATATTATTTGAAGACCCTGTAAGAGTTCAGACGAGCAGATACCCTGTACCCACTTGAAAATGACCAGAAACGCATTGCCCACTACATTTTTTGTTCTTCACTTTAAATATTATATACTCAAGCAACTTTGTGTTTATTTTGAGTATAATTTCCGACTTGCAGATACCCTGTAAACACCTGAAATTGGCCAGATACGCATTTTCTTCTACATTCCCTAAGCTCGAATATTTATATTGTATTCGCAAGAACTTTCATGCTGACTTTTGGTAATTTTCATCAAAGTCCCTGTAAAATTTTCATTTTTCGTAGACTGTGCTAAGTATTCGTTGGTTGGGTTTATAGTTTATAACTATCTTCTAGGTGCACTACTTTTACTTATCAAATAGTTTTGAGACTTGTAGCCATAAAACTATTCCAATTTGATTGGTACGGAGCCTTAAAATAAGTTGTTGCTAGAAAATCTAAACTTAAATATCTTTTTCATTAAGCATTTATATAAATTTTAACATATACATATACATATTTACAAGAACCTTACTAAAACTTCTGGAATGGGATTAAATAAATTTGTATAAAATAATAAAAATGTTATTTTTTGATAATTCGGTTTTTATATTCGGTCACACTGAAAATATATCTAGTATTTTTTTGTTTTTTGTTTCATTTTTTGTTTTTGTTTTGTTGAAATCAAGTATTTACGAAAATTGTTTTAATTGACATGCTGCCATAGTACCCAGGCATAGGTCTTGCTGAAATAAGAAATATGTGAAAACCATGCTAAAATCTATTGTTTTGCGGATTCTTAGAGACTGACTAGGGTCTGATAATATGTTGGCATGATGTACGGGAAGTTATTTGGGGTCACAATTGGCGATGTAGATTGGTGTTTCAAATATAAGGCATACAAATGTGTGCTCTAAATACATAATATCGTTTACAGTGAACTGTCGCTAGAACGGTTTTAACACTACGTAAGCAGCAGCAGCAGCAGCAGCAAAAAACAATAAACAATAAACGAATCCGTAACAAGCGTGTGTTTTTGCCCAGCTTAGAGGCTAGTGTATGGCATAGAGATGGGCGCGTGTTGCAGCTTTGCCGAGGCTAGACACGAGCACGGCACGGGAAACACGATTTTACAATACGAGACACGAATTTGTCGTATATAAAGGAAATTTAATAGATATGAACTGTTCTGATTATATGATTTAAATTTGAGCACGCGCTGGACACGATAGGCACGACCTTTGATAACGTGCTGCTCGTGCTTTAATAATTTAGATCGTGTTGTCGCGAGTTCGGTCTTGATTTCGTGCCAAAACTGATATTCAAACACGAGTTCGTGTATGATATAAATTTACGCACGCGTGTGACACCTTAGGCACGACTTTTGCTGCTCGTGCTTAAACGATTTAGGTCGTGTTGTCGCGAGTTCGGTCTTGATTTCGTGCCAAAATTGATATTCAAAGTGCGAGTGCGTGTTGCGTGCTCGTGTCAGCATCAGAGAAAGAACACGACATGCGCCCAGCTCCAGTACAGTAGGGCTAAAAAGCTACAATTGTGTGGATTGGGGCTGTGTTGTGCAAGTGGGCAAAGTTGTAGTTGGAAAATTAAGACTACAGCTGGTGTGTATCACTAGGCGCTCTAAAGCTCTAATAGAACTAAGGAACTACGGGGGAGAGTACGAGTACGAATACGGACTACGTCAATTTGGCTATAACTAAATTGGCCTACTGCTCTGACAACTCAAATACAACTGACTCGGGTGGTACGGATGACGCTGGCGGTACTCTCAGTACCTTTTGGCCGCGAAAGCACAGTCCGAACATCCAGTTGCTGTTGCGTCCAGTTGTCGATGCTCCATCATCCGTGCTCCGTATACGCTGGCCCACGGCCGAGCCGCTGGCCGGCTCCTCCGTGGCCTTCAATATGCCGCGGACACGTGCACTGTCCGTGGAGGCCCGGTTGTTGTTGTTGCGCCTTGGGATATATCTGTGGATCTGCGGCTCGGTGCTAATGACAATGGTCACGCTGCTGGCCTTGCGGGAATTCAAACGCTTCGTGGACTGCGATAGACTGTTTTTTTTTTTGGGGTTTTTTTTCAAGGGAAGAGAAAACAAAATTAGAGTAAGAAAATAATCATGTATAAATATATTCGCCAAATTTAAGAGATGAAATGCAATTCAAGCGCGAAAGTAAGAATATTTTGGGCATGCCATAGATTTAATACCCTTGCAGTTATGCGAGAAATGGGAAGATCGCAAAAGAATATCTCTTGGTAAATATTTGGCCAGACGACAGCTCAGCTTTCGACCGTTTCTTCCCATAGAGCTATAGAGTTAGTTGAACTGGTAAATGTCGGGCTCAGTCAAGACATCTTGGTAAACGAAACAGTTCGCCCTAATTTGCGACAGATCATTGATATGACAGATACATATATGATATAGTGCTACGATCCGGCCGATTCGGACATATATACTGCTTGCCACACAGAGATGGAGCTATGCAAACGGACTTGAGGCTTTCGATCTTGATCTAGAATATATATACCCTATAAATTCGGAGATGTCTTCTTCTATGCTTTACCCATTCCATGACAAACTTATGATACCCTCTGCAAGGATTTAAGAAACACAAATTTTTGAAAAATATTTGGCACATTTCCTTCTAGGTTTTTTAAAAAAATATTTTAAAATTATTTCGGACTAACATTTAATATTTTTTATTTTATGAAGGAATATTTTTTTGGAATTTTCAACTGCTCAAAAATATGGCGAATGGCCTAGGGCAAGATTTTGAGGGGCGAATTTCAAAGTTTTCTTTTCAGTAATTTTTGAATTGTTTTTTTCAGTGTGTGCCTACCGCTTGCCGGATTGTTGTGGGTCGCCTGGTTTCAGCTGTGGATCGGTGTCAGGTGCGGTATTGTAGGCGCCCGAATACATGGAGGGGCGCTTGGGCGCCCATTCCGGATGGCCACGCACGGACAGCCAGACGGCGATGCTCTTCAGCATGACAGCGCGCACCTGGCCAATGAGATGGAGAGTAGTAGGAGAAGTTGAAATGGGCACAGAGGCTGAAGCGTAAGATTCACTCACCTCGCCGTTGAGGAAACAATAGATGAGCGCTATGAAGAAGCCCTGAAAGGATGTCAGAAAGTGGGTCACATAGCTCCAGATGGCGAATTTCCAGGCGGTCTTCAGAGCCGGCACCAGATGCAACAGATTTGTAATGCCCAACAATGGCAGCAGAACGATTGCCGCCCGCACCGCCTTGCGCGTCTGCTCGATTTCGCTGGCCTGGCTCTGGCGCAGCTTCATGACCAGCACCCGGATGATGTTCACCAGGAAGATGAAGTTCAGCTGCCGGCCAGATGGTAAAGCGTATGCCCAATGCCATATTACGATTGCATGCGATGCACTCACCATGATAACCGTTAGACGTGGCCCCTCCAGTATCCAGTAGTAGGGCGTCAAATTGTAATTCCAGAGGCAATCGCCCAGCGAGGTGTCCATAAAGATTGCCGTGCACTGCACCCAGACGAAGGTCATCAGCACGGGCATGCCCCAGCCGAGCAGCGAGAAGAACAGGAGCGGAAAGTTACCCTGGAATACCGCGACAGTGATCATATTATGCAAGTAGAGACCCTCGATGAACATCCACATGAACATGGCGGTGCGTGCGTATTCCAGCAGCACATAGGATGCCTCGCATAGGTAGGGCTGCAATCGATAAATGTCCTTCATATAACTCAGTTCAGCTTTTTGAAAACGCGTTTCATTCGATCCGTTTCAAAACCCATTCCATGCAAGGCCGGGTCATACCCGCCAGTATATAGAGTATAATCGTGTACTCACCGTATTCTCGATAACCGACAGACTTGTGTTGTTGGCCGAGTCCGGCTTGCCACGCCGAAACTGATCTAGGTAGAGGGTCAGTCGGACAATCACCTGCAAGACCATGGCGACAAACAGATTCTTGTGTATTTTGGTGCGATTGTTGCGCAGCGAACGAAAGGCGCAAAATATCATCAGGGATATGATCAGGGCGAACAGGGACAGGCAGAGTCCAATGATTTCCAGGGTGCGTGTACGTTGCGCTATGTCCATGTAGAGCTGCAGTGGAAAAACGTTTGTTAAATGTTCGGAAAACTAAACATTGTCCTGTTTACGTTCACATCCTTGATTTCCTGCATCAGACGTATCACCTCCGGCTTGTAGCAGGGTCCATAGTCGGTCCAGCCGGTGGGCTTTTGTTCAGTCGAATTGGGTCGCCCAGCCCAATGACCATCTAGCTCGCACTTCCGATTGGCAAACTCTGTTTAGGGGAAACACAATACCAGCAATTACATTTGATGTGTACCTTTTTTCACCTTTTTCTTTCCAGAGGGGGTCAATCAAAGCAACTGGCAACTGGCAGCTGAGTGCAAACAGCAAGCTTGCCATTTTTAGCTGAGTAGTTGATAGGTTTCTGCCAAAAACGAAGCTGCTAACTGCTTTTGAGTCGAACCGGTTCGAGGCGGATTTTTTAAGTATTTTCTCAACAAATAGTTGGAGACAGATCTAGACCGAACGCAGGCTATCAATATAAATAAGGCTTAAAGATACTGTTGAACCGGTTCGAGATGGGAATTTTAATGTATTTTTGAAAATATAAACCGAACCACAAAGTAAGTCAGCTGCTCAATAATCTGATGAACCGAACCGAACCATATTTCGCTTCAAAAATAATTTGGTTCGATATAAAATAGTTTCGAGGTAGATCCAGCCTCAAAGCAAGGGCTGCTAAGAGAAGAACCGAACCATATTTCTTTTCAAAACTAGCTTGACTAAAGATAAGGTTTGATAGAGATCCGAGAGCCCAGACCCAGGGATATTGATAACCGCTTTTGAGTCAAACCGGTTCGAGGCGCAATTTCCATATTTTCGCGTTCGAGCCGAACCGGTTCGAGGTCGGAACCTATGTTCAAAAATGGTTTTGGTTAAAACAGAGAAATTATTAAGGAGATTTATGTGATCAGGTTCAAGAAGTGAACCGAATCTCAGGGCCGTGAACCAAACCAACGGCAATTAGTTAATTTTGGGTTTGTGGTTCGCAGCCCTGGCTTAGCTATTTTTGTGCACGCCTCACTCAATTAAATTGTTGACGCATTTTTTTTATTGGGCCAGGCAAGCAAGTGCTTAAATGAATGTACCTCACGTTCTATCAAACGAGGCGTGCATTTATGGGCGCACCTGGCACGGCTGGAGTTCATTGTATTGAGGCTGTCGCGTCCTTCGAATCACGTTCAATTTGATTCACATTGGTCTCGCCCGTTGTCCTGCTTTCTACCCCGCAGTCAGAGTGTTTGAGAGAAGTGTGGCCATGATAAATTGTGAGACGAGCTCTCAAGTGATGGGTATAAGTCTGCGACAAATCGTAGTAAGATCTATGCGAAACAGAGCAACTACTAGAGACAGATTTGGGAAATTAAAAACCCTTTTTTTTTTCAAATTGTGTTTTAAGCTTTCAAAATGTTAAACTGAAAGTCCAGGGTATTTGCCAGTCGTGCCTGTTTGCTTGCTTCTTTGCTTTTGCTATTTGCTTTAATCAAACAGCAACCCGATGTCAGCGTCGATGTCAACGTTAACGTAAGCGTCAACGTTGTCAATGACAGCTTCGGTCTAACTGTAATTATGTCAATCGAAACGAGCTTTTTGCGAGTGCCTCTTCCCCACCCACAACCCCATGCACACACACACACACACACACATACCCCTCGTGTGTACAGTTATGCAGCTGTATGTAATACCCAACAGGGTATTGAGGTCAGGTCAAATTATGACTGGTTGCTTATTAAATATTAAGCATTTGATATATTCACCTGTAACATGAGGCCCAGTGGTTGGGGTGCAGGTAGCTACCAATTAGATGAGTTAATGCCATGGTAACGACCCAAGAAGAGTTGTCAGTCAGCTAATGTGCTGTTCATTATCATTAAAGTCTGTCGTTCTTCCTGTCAAAAACTGGCCTGAGCGAGCTCATACTCCTCATACACTCATACAGGGCAGGTAGCTTAGCTGACATCAAAGCTTTGACGAAGTGATTATTTGCAATTTTTTATCTCCACATGCGACTGGCATGAATTTAAGTTTCCTTTGCTTCGCATTGCGCTCCTTTGCGTCCTTTGGTAACTTCGGACTCTGTGGTCCGATCTTAATGAAATTTTCAGGGCTTTGTTATGGCATGCAGAAGTGTGCATATACCAATATGCAAGGCTTTAACGTGAAGTCTTTCTTTTATATCAATTCCCAGCTGAACAGAGGCATTTATTAAAAAAGTGAAAGCTTCAAACACGCCCACATACCAAATATGTTGCGACTACCTCGCATAGTCTTCGATTTATGCCTACAATTCAAATTTTAAAGGATATATCTGCCTAGGCTTCGGGTGCAGCTTTTAGGAATCAAGCCAAGAATTCAGCAACCATTTATTTGCTAATTGAAGACAATTTTCAGCAAATTACGGGCAAATAATAGGGTATAGTTATGGATGTGCGCCGGTTGAGGTAGGCCCACGCCCAGCTCGTATTGTCCTGGCCCAGTTGGACGTTAAATAATTAACCAAATGATTTAAATTGCATTCGATTGCCTGCTATGTTCCATGGAATTATACAGTTAGGCTCAATTAGATTGCAATAGATTGATGGCCCACTAAACTATCCATTTGGCTTCTTTCAATGCCCCTTATGGCAAATCTCAATGGACAACTACGTGACGCCCACGCACGGATGCCTTCATGCATTCCTGAGTAGTCCACTCAGCTCGTTGGCTTCACCTATTTCTGTGTCCCGTGCAAAATTTAATCCAGCTCTGCGAGCTACACAACATTTTATCTAACTAAAGTGATGTGAAGTTCATGTGGAATGCGTTTTGCTTATCGAATTTTTGAAGAAGTTCAATTCAACCGCGACTATAACTGAGAATATTTATTCTATCTTGTGGTTAAATATAATTCCTTGAAATTTATAAGTTTAGGCCCTGAATTTTTGCTTGTTTATTAAATTGTATTCTTGAAATTTAAAATTTAGAAATAGTATTGTCCTTGATTTTAAGATTCTTGAAAGTTTTTAATTGAAAAATTGAAATTTTCCCTGATTTTTTTTACTGTGGTTACCTTATGTGATGAAGGTGCATCTTAAGTCGGGGTTTCGGGAAATTCCACCTGCAAGTGGGGAATTATGGCGCAAAACGTTGGATGATGGATTCCTACACACATGAATACATACACACATACAAACATACATACACACATACAAACATACATACATACATACATACATACACACATACATACATACATACATACATACATACATACATACATACATACATACATACATACATACATACATACATACATACATACATACATACATATATACATACATACATACATACATACATACATACATACATACATACATACATACATACATACATACATACATACACACATACATACATACACACATACATACATACATACATAAATACATACATACATACATACATACATACATACATACATACATACATACATACATACATACATACATACATACATACATACATACATACATACATACATACATACATACATACATACATACATACATACATACATACATACATACATACATACATACATACATACATACATACATACATACATACATACATACATACATACATACATACATACATACATACATACATACATACATACATACATACATACATACATACATACATACATACATACATACATACATACATACATAAAAAAAAACACCAAAAAAAAACACCAAAAAAAAACTCCAAAAAAAAAAACACAAAAAAAAACTCCAAAAAAAACACCAAAAAAAAACACCAAAAAAAAACACCAAAAAAAACACCAAAAAAATACCAAAAAAAAAAAACACTACTTGCTAAGCATGAAAACCTGCAGAGCCTACTTGAATTCTTGAGAATCGAGGAGGAGAGCACTTGGCAGAAATTCGTTTTATTTAAACTTGCAGCACAGCGACAAATAAGCTGCGTTTGGTATTAGAAAACAAGCATACATATTTACGTAAATGTATGTATACATGCATGCATACAGTAACACACACACACACACACACACACACACACTCACATACATACACACCCAAGCGCACACGCATATATGCCTTCGAACAAAATTCATGTATATTTATATATTAATTTATTGGGTTTAACTGCTTGATTGATTGACAAACTAACTGACTGATTGACTGACTGACTGATTGACTGACTGATTGACTGATTGATGATCAACGCACAGGCCGAACTTAAGGCTGAACTTTCAAGTGTTCGGCAACTTATGCGGTGAGAATGCCTGCTAAGACGGGATTTCCGATTCCATCCGAAAAATATGGAAAATGGATGGAAAACGATTGCATAAAACTTTTGTTTATCCTCTAATCGACTTCAAACTTATTTTCAAAGAGGCGTGGCAAAATTTGTTGTAAAAGTTCTTCACAAATTTAATAAAATGCCACGCAAGATTGCGGAAAATTCGATTTGCTGCGTGGAAATATTCATATATATATATATATATATATATATATATATATATATATATATATATATATATTCGAAATAGCCAAGTCGGTCTGTATATAAATATATTTTGTTTATATGTAGTCTTTCTTTGCGCTACATATATTATATATATTCTAGATCTGCATCCGACTTTCTAATGTAGGCGATGCAAATGTATAAGTCGCAAGGATCGAGGCTCTATAGCTGCCATAGGAACTATGAAGGTCTTGTATTTAAAGAGTTACATATATAGTATGTGTAAATCGGAGGAATCGAATCAATATAGCATATAGCTGCCATAGGAACAATCAATACACAATAGAGTTTTTGTATTTAAAGATTAATAGAATACGAAATCAGAAGAATCAAAGAACTATATTATATGTATAGCTACCATAGGAACGATCGTTGCAAAAGTAAGTTCTTCTCTTAAATGATTTATTTTTGAAAAGAAATGTTCACTAAATTTGGTATCACATTGTTTTACAATGCGCTCGATATAGAAATAAAGTCTTACCCAACTCAGTTACCCATATCGTAAGCTCTCTACACAGATCTGGAATGTCTTATTAGATCAGCGTACTATATCATATGGCTGCTATAGACACAATCTTAGGAATATGTCTTTCCTTTATAATTGTTCATAATTGTTAGGGCAACTGAGATTCGTTGACCTTTTTTATACCCTGAACCCATTCAAAATGGGTATAAGGGTATATTGTATTTGTGAAAAATCCAAATGTATGTTACAGGCAGAAGGAAGAAGCATCTCCGACCCCATAAAGTATATATATTCTTGATCAGCATCAATAGCCGAGTCGATCTAGCCATGTCCGTCTGTCTGTCTGTCCGTCCATCCGTCCGTCCGTATGTATGAACGCAAGGAAATGAAATTTTAGATATAGGTGCTCCTAGTGCCTGCGCAGATCGAGCTTGTTTCCGATAATCGATAACTTACTCCGTTTCCAAGCAATCGATAAGAATCAATTTTGGTAAATAATAAGAGCTAGGGTCACCAAACTTGACAAATAGCTTCTAAAATAGAATATGTATATGCATTTGATGTTGGAAGAAGAGGGTCCAGGGTATACCCTAGTCGGGAGCTCCCGACTAGAAGCTCTTGTTTTGTTTTACTTACTGCGCGTATCGACGCCATGATAGCCGGCGGGGCAATGCATGTGGGCGGTGGCGCCGGCCGGAGTTGGTGGCCAGCACAGGAGCGAGTCCCAAGTCCAGTTGCAATAGATGACTAAGCGAGAGACAGAGAAGGCAATAGTCAGTAAGAGCGTGTGAGTGAGAGAGACAGATGCAGCTAGTTGATGGATGTGTGGTTGCCGGTGACAGTCGCTAATTAAACAATAAATCGAGCACAAGGATACGTGGCGATGCGGCATGTGGCATGCGGCATGTGTGGCAAATGAGGCGAATGCAGCTGTTGCATAAAACATGTTAACCCAGTTACCTTTTGCGAAAATATGCGCCTCAGGTACCCGCCCAGTACACTTGAATAAAAGCACAGCTAGCTAGCTCTCTCTCTCTCTCTCTTTCTCTCTCTCTTTATATTATGCTTAAGCTGATAATTTGCGGGCCCAAATGAAATAAATAAATATATATATACATATATATATATATATATATAGCTATAAAAGCTAATGCGGCTTGGTTCTGACCGCACAGCCAGCAGCTGGCAGGAGCAAGTGGGCTGGGCAAGCTGATCGCGGCGTCTTGGCGCCGTTCTCCTCAATGCCGGGCGGGGGACGTGTTGCCGCCGAGAAGAGATGCGGTTCGTCAAGGACTTCGGCGCGGTTGGCTGGCTTCTGGCAATTGGCCAATTTCGCCTGGAACAGCTGATGATTCTCGTCCGGCATGCCGGCGCGTTGCACCTTTGTCTGGATGGCCATCATGTAGCGTCCCTTCGATTTGCTGTTGACAACAATGTTCATGACGATCTTCAGCATATTGACACTAGTTTCAGCTGCAGTTCTAGATATTTTCTTTCAGATATCTCTCTCTCCCTCACTCTATACATATATATATATTTATATATATATATATATATGTATGTATTCACATATGTACACAATTATAATACACAAGTCTTCAATTCTCAGCGATTGGAAATGCAGTTAAGTTGAATTTGTAGTAATTTGGAATCTTAAGAGAGAGTGCTGCCGAAAAACGTGCTCAAGAATTGAGTATCGAGAATTGTATACTTAGAATTTTTTTTTGGCGCCACAAAAATTCAACTGGCCTTACATTTTGACTGTTCTCTCGAGGCTTGCTATTGAGTTCAGTTTCAAAGACAGCGCTAAGCATTTCGATAGACCTATCGATATGTTATCGATTTTATCGAATCTTGTTAAATTGCCATCCCATTTTTCATGCATGTTTACATTTAAAGTATTTGTATTCTACTCCTCTGACTTCTATTTATTTTTGTGGACCTATCGATAGTTTATCGATTGGCAATTTAAGCTCAGAAATATTCAGGTTTATGCGCTTTTTCACACTTTCCATGCGCATCATTAAAGTTGGTTCTTATTTAAAATATAACATTTTAAATAATATTTCCATAAGTGTCTTCCATTCGCGTTCGTTGACTTATCGATAGTTTATCGATTGGTATTTGGAGCTAAGTTTATAACAAAAAAAGCACGTTTGCAGCGCTGCAATACATAAATCCATCTATGCATATCTATGTATATTTATATTTATACCTATTTACTGAACTAGGCGCAAAGATTTGATGTGCTTGGCATTGAATGAGATGCAACATGCAGACGCATTGGAGCTGGAACTGGAACTGGGACTGGGAACACGCTCACTCACCTGTCGTCGGTTGGGTGTAGTTGGCAAACAAGGCCGAGCAGTTGTCATAGCTGTTGGCCGATGCGCTGTTAATTGATGAGTTCCAGAATGTTGGGATGCTGGTGCTGGATACAGGCTCCGTTCCGGCCATGGCCACATCCATGCCGGCAGCTGTCACGGCCATTGGCTCAAAGCCTGTCAGCGCTGCTTGTGTCGTCGATGTGGTGCCATATGTTGTCGATGTCGATGTCATTGTGGTGCTGTGGTGCGTGCTGACTGTTCGGTTGCTTGAAGGTGCCGCTGTCGGCATGAGCCTGGCGTCTGGTGGCCGCCTTAAGAGCGCGTCTTGATGCTGGTTGTGATGGTGGGTTGTATGCTGCCAGTCTCGTAAATGCCAGGCAGCTGCATCATTTATCCTCAGCTGTGAACGAGAAGCAACATCGTGTGATAAGTTGCATTTCTTAAGTGGTATTTCTAAAGATATTCATTAATCATTCCATTTATTTAAGCGCAATCAGGTAATCAGGGCAATTAAAAATGCGTACAAATTGAGCAAATTCTTTAGCTTTGGCTTTCATCACATTTTAAGCTTTTCTGTGCTTATTTCTTTCATTGCTGCACAGCACTAATTGCTGTCAATATAAACTTAAGCTTTCATGTGCTTTCCAAGCTTTTACGCCTAAAAGCATTTTCTCTTGCCTAACATAATTCATTTGTCTCAATCTATGTTAAAGCTTTCAAACGAGTTCACAAATTTGTGTTCAGGCAGCTTTCATTTAAACTAAAGCTTTATGTGCTTTAAAGCAACTTATCTCAGATGTAGTCGAGCACTAAAAGCACATTAATACTTAACGTTATTTTAACTAAACAACTTATCTTAAAGCACCTTATCTCATATTGAGCACTAAAAGCACTGAAATACCCAACTCTCTAGTTTAAGCTTTCATTAGCTTTGAATTCTGCTTTGACTTTTTTCGCTCGTGCCGAAAGCTTTTAAGTTTTCACAAAATGTTGCCGTGCTTACAGCTTTCAATCAGTTTATAGCATTTATTTTTCCTGTTTATCGCCTTTCATTTAATTTCTTCTGTTACACAACACAAGTTGCTAGTGCTGTAAAGTAAAAGTAAAAGTTTCGAATTAGCAGCTAATTTGATTATTTAAGGCAAAGTTGTAAATGTGAGCCAGAGCAAAGTAAATAGTTGAAATTGTTCAAATACTATAAAAACATAGAAATGCAACATGTTTGTCTTTGGTAGCCGCATTGGTAATACCCTAGCAAAAGTATTATGTAGGCTAGCTTAAGCTACGCTCTAATATTCTTTTCTATTCATAGTCTCATATGAGATAAATGGATGTATAATAATCAAAAGTTATATTTAATAAAAAACAAGCATATTCATTTTGAGACATTTTCTTTCTTTAAGGGCCAGAGATACCCGACTTGGTAGCTATATTCTTGTTTAATAAACTAAAAGCCAGAACATTTTAATCTTCTGATGTCTCACACACAATGTCAATTAAATTGAAAGGGTAGAGCCTAGTGCTTTAGTTTTTGTACACATTTGGTTGCCACGCGTATGCCTTGATAAATAGACAAGGATCGGACTGTAAGCAAAGAAGTTCATTAAGATTTCATTGTTCATAGTTTGGCTTTATTCGAGATATAGCATAGCTAGCTAGAACGTTAATGTTAATGTTAATGTTAATGTTAATGTTAATGTTAATGTTAATGTTAATGTTAATGTTAATGTTAATGTTAATGTTAATGTTAATATTAATGTTAATGTTAATGTTAATGTTAATGTTAATGTTAATGTTAATGTTAATGTTAATGTTAATGTTAATGTTAATGTTAATGTTAATGTTAATGTTAATGTTAATGTTAATGTTAATGTTAATGTTAATGAGCTAGCTCTCATTTACGGCTTAAGGGTATCTGCTAGTCGTTCACTCCCAACTGGCGCACTCTTATTGAGCTTGATTTGGCACGTTGTGTTCTATTGTCAGAGGCTCTTTGTTGCAGGGGCTTTGTTTTAATTAAAATCAGGGCAAAGCAAGCAACGCATTTAGCTGAATGCAATAAGTCAAAACCGCCTACCGAGTATATCATAAATAAAAGTATATATATATATATGGATTATACACATACATATATGTATATAGAGTATCTCCTTTAGTATGTGGCATTACATGCATTTTGTTTGCACTGCGCTGGCAGTCTCAACAGTTTAGTATTGTTTATTGTTGATTGTTGATTGTTTATTAATAAATAACTTGGGAATGCATTCGTTGGCGTATTTTTGCAATTCTTTCCATATTTATATACATGTGTATATATAAATATATATAGCTATATATAAACTGGAGAACGCACAAAGTCACTTGCCTTATTATCAACATCAGCGTCGATTTATATCATCATGATTCGTTTGTTGTTCTTTTTGTTCTTTTTTCACAAGGTCGTGCCATTTGCTGTACATTGGCTTTGATTGGGCTTGGCAAACATCCAAGTTTCTCCCAGCTAAAGTCTGTGTCAACAATGCTCAGTTCAACTGGATATTTATTGTTTTATAGCTGTGTCAACTGAACGAAGCAATCTATTGAATAACTATTTTCAGCTCAATCAATCATCAATCGCATCATAATCAGAGCAGAGAGCATCAGCTCATTAAAATGACATTCGGCATGTGAGTTGTTCAACGGATTGCTGTGAAAATATTGAAATTAACAAAATTGCAAAGCTGTGTTTTTGGGCGATTGCAGCTGTTTAATTAATCGACCGATTGATTGATTGATTGATTGATGTTGAATGCACAGTCCAAGCAGGCTGATATTTTTACTGAAGCCAAATTACGTTTGCTCCAAAAACTTGTATGTACTTGACTTGTATGATGTCACGAGCTTGTGTGGCAAGCTAGAAGTCGCTGGCTCAAATCTAGTAACTGCTTTAAATTTTTAGCCAATGTGTTAGCGGCAGCTCGCGGGTTCAAATCCAGCAGCTTGACGGCTTAAATCTAGCAGTAGCTCATAATTTCGATACGTGTTGAACAAATTAACTTCCGTAGATGTGCCTGGGCACAAACAATGCCGTTAACACATGCATTATCAACAATATGCATTTCTTGCGGACGACGCCGGGTAATTTTTGATTAGTTTTCCCTTAGTGAATGCTAGGAATATGGTATACGCGCTGTCAGGTGATTTAAAGAGGCGCAACAGCTGCAATTGGCCTTGGCGTAGGCGCTGTCTTCTGTTTACCCCGTCCCTCACACCTGGTCAGGTGCACGGGGCACACGTTGACGGAGCGTCTCGCCCAACACACTCTGCTGTGCTGGGCTGGAGCTACTTTTATCGCTGACTTGGCCTAGAAGTGCGTGGGGCAACTAATTGTGGAGCAGATGGTGCGGCTGTGTTATGTGGCATCTAATAGACAATAGCATCTCACTGGAGAGGGAGAGAGAGGGAGAAAGAGAGAGAGAGAGAGAGATAGGGAACTTTGTGGCATGCTGCACACACATAATTGATCCCCGGGTCGGATCTAACTGGGCAAACTGGCTTTCATAAATGCCGAGCAGATTATTTTTTGTTATTTATTTTATATCATTTTTTTGGGCGAAAGTTACATACGCTGCGACAACTTGTGAAATTGAAATTCTTATGAAATGATGTACAAATGTGCACGTGTGTGTGTGTGTGTGTGTATGTGCTCGAAGGCATTTTGGGCAAGCAGCCAGCTAGCAACAACAAGAGGCAGAAGAATATAACAAAAAGGCACAATAGCACCCCCTCAAGGAATATCCTGCTTAGCTTCATATAGATGTGCGTGCGAGGGTGTGTGTGTGTGCGTGTGTGTGTGTGTGTGCAGCATACCAGAGATATGTGCAGGACCATAAAGTAAAAGCTTAGTTTAAGTTTGAGCTTAGCGCGTGGCGTTAGATAAAATGAAGCTTTGCCAAGTTGAAAACTAAAATCTCGTAAGCTTTTAAGCTTAACTTTAGCTCTGTGAACTAGTTTTGTGGCTGTGGCACACGTTGGGCGCAAACATCTGGGTTACAGGGTATCTTGTGGTCTTTTATCTTATGGTTGTTGTCGTGTTGTCACAAGCATGCCGGTCAGCTGCCTTGCGCAAGCATGCTTGTGCATATACACCTGGCCAGACGATATGGCTTTACGTTTACTTCTCAACAAATTGACACCAAGACCCAAATCTGTGTTCGTGTGTGTGTGTGTGCGTGTGTGTGTGTCTCTGTTAGCTCTTGGTCAACGCACAAAACCAACAAAACTTGATCGGCCCAACACGTCGTATACTCAATATTTACTTACTCTCCATTTGATTAAGCTAAAAGCTGTCCCATTATTGTGATATATTCTCTATGATTAACTGACCGAATGATTGATTGACTGACTGATTGATTGATTGACTGACAGACTGACTAACAGACAGACGGACTAACTTGGTGATCAGCTGGGTTACATCCAATGTTTGGTGTATAATAGGGAAATTGTTGTGATATTTTCTCTATAACTAACTGATTGACTGATTGATTGATTGACTGACAGATTGACTTTGGTGAGCAGCCAGGTTACATTCAATGTTTGGTGTCTAATAAGGTTCTGATATTTTCTCTATGACTAACTGACTGATTGATTGACGGACAGACTGACTGACTGATTGACTGATAGACTGACCGACTTGGTGATCAGCCAAAGATATGTTTTCTATGATCTTTGCGAGAGTTGAATTGAGGCGTATTTCACGCTTTTCGCAAAATTCGCTGCGCTTGGCGGAAAAAGTGGTTTAAGAACTTGGGAAGTCGAAGTTCCCTTAGGGCAGTCTTTCACACATTTCGCAAAATTCACTCCGCTTGGTCTAAAGTGGGATTCAAAACTTGTTCGCGTGTAGTTGCGACTTTAAGCTCATTTCCCTGCTTGTCTAACGAAATTATTTGGCACATTAAAAGAAAGCGGAGCAGCGATCTATTGTGCCTGGAGCTACCTAGAGTTGGAGCTAGCAAGAGTTGATTGTGCTCCTTCCTGTGAGGCTGGACAGACAAGCTTGTTGCCCAGATGTTTTATCCTAGACCAAGTAAAGGCTGGACATAGAAAGGGCATTAGCAAGGAGAGAGTCGAGCTCCACTTCTTGCTGCCAAGGCTAACGAGGGTATCATCCAAGCTTGTCGGAGCTTTTCTGCAACCCTGTGAAGATACGATGCCGAGATCTATCGCCAATTAATAGGGAAACTGAACCGCAGCAGAGTTCGTGGCAATTCTTTGTGTAGATATTGATATGGTGATTACTCGTCGAACTATTTTCGGATTTAATTAATGGCTCGCAGCTTAGTTTGAATTATGAAAGAAATTTAAAACTGTGTAGCCCAATGCGAGGCTCATTGATAATGCAGTTAGCAATTTGCAAGG